AGACCAAATTTTCAAATCTCTTCAAAGATCTTAGTCTATCTATTCATAGTCGGAAATTGTGTTGGTAAAAGGAAATTGGAGAAACGACGGTGGTTAAATAATTTGTTTTATGTTTTTTTTAAAGTAATTACAATTTAAAGGTAATAAAGTCAACAATAGTCTATATCTCTTATATTAAAAAATATGGTGTATTTTTTTAATTTAAATTGTTTTTTGGCCTATTTCCTTCTTTTTCCCTATATGTAATCCATGGACCCTCAACCTTACATGTCATTAAAAAATATAGAAAGGTGAAATTTTAATTTGCCTATTTTCTCGAAATAATTGATAATTGTGATCATTAATCAAATTATAGAGATGAAAACAATATTCTTCTTGGTCTTTTTCCTCGTATTTTCCTTCTGTAAGTTCTTCACTGATAAACGTTTACATATCTATGATTTTTCATTATTCATATAAGTCAAATTGTTTCTATGATATAACACACATATATCATATCTATATGTCCATCTGATGATGACTATAGTATTTAAGTAGGCGAAAAACTAAAGAATGAAATTTAATGCTGATTCAAACTAAAAAGCAGATTAAATTTATATATTATTTATAGAATATCAATAATTTTTGACTAACTGTTCAATTTGAAGGCATAACGATGATAGAAAGCAAGTGTCACAAAAACTCAGATTGTAAATACGAGAAGCAACCTTGTCCAGTGCCTATGGCATGTCTATTTGGCAGCTGCATTTGTCCTTGGAAAAAAAATCACTCTAAATTCTCAAATTGTCAAATCATATGTTCACGTTTGGAGAAAAATGATATAAACCCTCGTGATTCTACTTCTTGCGTTTGTGATGATAAATGAAACAAGAAATGTAAAAACAACAGATTTTGCAAGAGTTATAATAAACAAAAAAGCTATTAAAAATTATTACCATTACTTTTTTTATAAAAAAGCCAGAAATTGCTCAAATCTGATATATTAAGTCGGACTTTTTCGTATATATAATATAGTAAACAAAATGAGTCTAACGTAAACGTTTCATATCATGAGAAAAAGATGACATAAATCATACATGTGTCAAGCAGACTTTTTACAGTTACATTGACCTCCAAAAAGTAATTTACAATATTTAAATGGGCTTAACATAAACTACAAGAGTCGATGAATGTCAAAGCAAAAGATGCCCATTGTCCATGGAAAGTTTTTTCTTCTTTGTTACTAATGAGATTTTATTCTCTTAAATTTAATTTCGCATAATCTAAGAAGAATTAATTTTAGCATCATAATCTAAGAAAAGGTAATTGTTTAACAATAAGATAAAATTATTAATTTAGTAAATAAAGTTTCTTCAATGGAAAGTGCAAATACTTTATTTTTTTTTAACTTTTAATGTCGATACTTTTTTTCTTCTATGAACACTTTATTTTTGGCAAACTAAATAATGCAACACAACACGGGAAAACGGTTTTTTTTTTTTTTACCAAAATTATTGTCATCAGGCTTTTTTGGATCTGATTTTTTAACACTGGCCAATTTAAACCCGAACATCAACTTAATTCAAATTCGATACCCAAACATACGATTTTATTGTTGATTTAGACCTTGACCAAGTTACCGTTAGTCAACGTTAACGGAACAATGACATGGACGGCACATAGTCAAAAAAACAACCTTTTTCGACCAGAACGATTGTCATCGGGCCTTTTTGGACCTGATTTTTTAACATTGGCCAATTTAAACTCGAACCTCAAATTAATTCAAATTATTTAAAAAAATTAATAACTTCACCTCATAACTCT